ACTTATGTCACAGCTTTCATTTTAATCTCGTCCCGTTCTTTTTAGCTTATTGACAAACTCTATAGGAAGCTCTATCGTTAAGGGATACGTTCACTGCATCTTTTCTAGCCTTACTCTAAAAAGTAAAAAATATAAACGTGAAGAATAACGCTGATCACTAAACTTAAGGGAAATACGTTACCTTCCCTCTATATAATGATAGCTATCAATATCTATACACACTTTATCTCATTAACTTCATCATTTTTTCAGGGAACCTCACCAAGGAATAAGGCGGTTGACATAGTACTTTGTAGCTAATAGCTGTCTGAACAACACAAACAACCTCACTTTCCTAAAACTCATTGTATTGCCCTTTTCAAGGAATTTCCTCTGGATGATGATTACAAAACAATTGTTGGCAACAGTTCCATACATCCCATCATTTAAGGCAGTAAATCATTCATAAATTAATTGCCCCTTCGGAAACCCAGCTGGTGGTGTTTGGAAACATATAGACCCCAGGCGGTACCAGGCTGTTTGGGTCCATTTAAGTTTCTATTAGGGCCATAATATTATGTTGCTAGGGAACAGCCAGCTCTATCCAGACTTATCAAACATGTACATAACGAGTTCGATGTGAGCGGCAGCAGCGGAGCACCGTGCGCATCATTTCCCTGCTTAAGGCAGGAGCTTCTGACACGTCGACCACACAAAGACATGTTTCCAGAGGAAGATGCAGGGAAGCGCGACACCTCATTTCAGCGATACCGAAAGGCCACACCAACCCAGTTAAATTGTGTTATTCGTCTGCCTGGCTGGTAATTTATTGCTAATCATTGGACTGCTGAGTATTGGGGACGAAAGGCCCTTTCCAAGGAGGCCATTAAAGTGTTATCTCACAAAAGAGGGCTACTAAAACACAAACAGCTATTAAAAAAGTTTCTTATTTCGGTCTGCAGGTTACCAAAGACGGCACAAGTGAAAACAAAGGCTGCCACTGTACGGCACGACACACTAATCAAGTGACAAGAGACATAGTATAGGAACCTCCATGGACACGCAAATCCCCCATCCTCAGAAACCACTTCTCACCCTGTGCTAGACAACAATGAGTATGGAAGAGCAAGCTTTTTATTTTCCTTTTGGATATTTCATTAAACGTTTCCTTGCGATTCACCACAGTTAGCACATGCTTGTGCTTTAGAACTGCATGCTATGAGGAGCAACTGAACACTACACTGTGTGTGTTCGTGTTCTCCCTGTGTGTGTTGTGCGAGTCATTCCCAGAGTGACCCCCACCCTACGTAGGCGGTTTGAGTTGTGCGCGCCGGCCGGGACATATTTGGCCTCTGTCCAGTTTGCCCTTTCCCCGGTCCCGAATTGAACTGCTCATCATACTAGGTGTGGTAACTCTTCTTGTTCCGTGTGGTCGCTCCTCTCAGGAGGAAGTGAAGGTGATCCCATATCGTCTGCTTCTCGCCCTCTTTTCCTGATCCTTTCTCTGTTGCTCTGTGTCCGCCATGAATGGCTCCCAATCTATACAATACTATTAATGACTAGGCTGGGACCGGGCCCTTGAGGAAGGTTTATACATACTTTTATAATGAAATTCAAGCGGCTCTGGGATATGTCTTCTGGAGCTCATTAATCTTCACAGGTTTTTTATTACCAATTTGAAAACTCTTGTGGCAGTACATCTGGTGTTGCAAAAGAGAAAGACAATGTCTTGATAACTAGCAGGGACGTGCACAGACATTTGTGGGCGGGCAGCGCATGCTCAAGTGAGAAAAAAAGGGCACTTTCCAGTAATGGTAGGTTTATAACAAAGAAATGTGAAAACAAAACAAGTTAAGATATATTGGCAACATCTCTGACTTCACTGACCGAATTATTGTTGGAATGCCCCTCCACTTCACGCAATTTGTTTACAATAGCTCAGGCAAGATTTCTACAAAATAATCAGCTGACCACGATGTCGAATGCCATGGTCTCTCTTTATTCACTACGCGACATTGTTGCTGGATAATTCAAACTAGCATAAACTGTAATATGAGTCATTGCAACATAACAATACACCTAGAACTTTGCAATATCCCCGAATCCTGATATTTTATGGAATATTCAATCCTAATATCTGGAAAGGCAATACTGTGACCAAATAAATCAGCTCAGAACAGCAGTAGATATATATTCATTTATTTAAAAAAAAAAAGGGGGGAAAAAGGGCACTTTCTCTGGAGGAAGAAAAAGGGGCTCAAGCCCACTTTGATGTCTATGTGTGCACGTGCCTGCTGTCTAGTATAATGTGGAGGGAAAGCCTCCTTTTTTAATTATCTTGTTGGTATTTCCTTTTGTCTTTACTTCCTGGTGGACATTACCAAGTGAAAGTGTGCTTGTGTGTTTGAAGTGTTATGCTCTCATGTAGGAAAATCAGTATTTGGAATGTGTGTTGTGCCATATCTGTTTAAAACCACTAATGATGTTTTACATTAAATTATAAGATACAATAAACAACTTCAGTATTAAGCATATTATACCATTTTACAATTCTTGATCGGTGGGAAAGTGAAACTGTAACGTGGATTCTCAACCTTTTTGCCCATTAGATCATTTCTTTATTGACAATTTTCTGTTCAGTGAGCAGGGTGTTTTCACGAGTGAAATGTACGCTGCAATATTTTAAACTTTTAAATGTTATTGTCATGATCTGCCCTTATGTTTTTTTCTTGATGATTTCATTTATTCAGTTTAGCATTTCCTGTTTTATCTCGTTACCCACCTCTCATTTCAGATCATTTGCCTTTGATCTGCCTTTGTGTGTTTTCCCGCCAGTTTCAATTGTCGTCTCGCCCTGATTAGTATCACCTGTTCCTCGTTAGCCGTGCAGTCACCTGACCCTCGTTACCACCCTCCTTTTCTTCCCTATGATTGCATAGTGATCTTTGGAAACCTCTGCTCACTTTTGGACTGAGCTTCTCTAACCTTGCTTTAAGTAAATACCTATTTTCTTTCATTCAACCTGAGTGTTTTTAGCCCTGCATTTGATTTGACTGTTTGTCTGTAGAGTCCCATAACTACAAACCTTACGTCTTTCATTACCCCGAGCTTCTCGGAAAAACTCATAGACATTTTATGCGATTTATAATCAGCCAAGCTGCCATATAGTTTTAAAGCTTGACCTCATGTGTCCTTTAACAACTTGTTGTTAAAGGACACATACTCTGAATCCTTAAATGACCTGGGCCTTGCACAACATTCGAATAACAGAGTTTAGTTCAGAACATGAGGAGAAATCCCTCATCACATTTTTTAAGGTTATTAGCACAAGATGACACTATTTGCTATACACACACAGTTCAACAACTTCATTCAGGGCGCTTTACAGCTCTGAAGTGTCCAGTTAATTTCCAGATCATTACTTCAGACAGTGACTAAAAGCCTCTTAGCAAGAGAGTTACTGCACCTACAAATGTTAGATCAAGGAAACACCGAGCATACAAAGGAACTGCTGCCTTGCACCTTTTGGAGAAGCCAGCTCGAGTGCGCTAGAATTTGAAAGTACAAAACTGGAAAAAATCCGCCTTTTCCTTCAGACTTCCTTACAGAGCCCCTCCTCCAACACACACGAACGCACACATGACCAATGAGGGCACGAGATAAGTTTGTGCACAGATGGAAAGCTGACAGGCAGGTAGGCCATCCAGTTATTTTAACCGGGCCGGCTAAAATAACTGGTCGTGCTTTTTACAGTACCACGGCTTCCACAGATGACATTTTTTCATGTATTTATTGTCAAAGCATTTCATATATTCATTGCTATCGGGATGTTAAGAGCATTCCATGGAATATAACAAAAAGTGTCTCTGAAATAAATGACATACCCCACTTTTAAGTCATTTATTCAGAAGTACTCAAGCTTTGATTGTGACAAGGATTTAGCAACGCTGTGATCCCGTCTGCTAACTGTCAACACTGATGGCACATCTGTAATACAGTATTTGACTAATATCAGTGGCAATGTTAAAGAAGAAAGGATGTCATTCTAAAATATAAAAGTACCTCTATTTTTCAAATTGTTTAGTTGACTTAGTACGATATGTAAAGAAAGGTAATGTCAGTTATATCAATATTAACATTGGTGCTTGGCCAGACAAGTGTTACAATACTCTGTTGTACTCAGTACTTCAGTACTAAGTGACTTCTCACCACTGCAAGTGATGCATCTGTGATGCCAAAAGAAAAAGAAAACCAATTTTACAGTCATGGTTCTTTCTGTCAGTCAAAGATCATCTATTTGGCCCTTCAGTGCTCCTCGTACCTTTTTTTTTTTTCCTACAGAATGAATGAACAAACAATACTCTAAATCAAACAAACTCCACTTTTACTACCGCAAAGCAGCCTAATGCATCTGTGGCGCTGCCTTGGAGGCGGACGACAGACATAACGCGTAGCTTATTCCAGGGTAACGTATGGTAACAAACAAGGAAGCACATTTTAGCAGCCTGTTGAATTTCATGCCCAATTTATTTTCTGTAAATTGAAATTTACGATTACACAATTACATAATAGGGAGTACTTTGGCATATTTGCCAAGCGCCTTGTCAGAGGTGCACCTGTTTGTAAGGCTCTGAGCTATGATGCTGCATTCGCCAGGCAAATCCATTATTATTACTCAAATCCAGCGGTTGCATTTTTCCTGCTGGGAGTGACTCTCAGTGTTGATTAAGTGCAGCTTTAATCACTGTTGAGGCTCTGTGTTGGCACTACCTGGCCTCGCCTTCTACAACAGGGAATAAGCCTCTGGCTGATTAAAACTTCCACATGCTAATAACACCATTCCTAACGCACACCTGGGGTGGCAAAATGTCTGTATAATTATTTCAGAGCGTACTCCTTGGCTCACTGTGAGGGTCAGAAGTGTAATGTCAATAAGCTCGGCAAACAACTAGTTGGTATATTACAACAATGTTCGCTCCAAATGTAAACAGAATTCTCTCTTTTTTCTATTTCAGGACCAGAGAATTCACCAGGCTGGCTGTGTGGAGAGGACGAGGGGAAGACGATGGCCCCATTTTCATGTCCGCTGCTTGCCTGTCACATGCCTGTGTTTGCTACAAAGTCACCAGAGAGAAAGGTAAACCTGCTGCCTCCATTACAAACAACAGGCATTGTAAAAAGAACAACCATGTGGTCTGAAGCTTAAATAGGTCTATATCATATTAACTATTATAACTTATTATTGTAAGAGTTAGTCTTGTTCATAAGAAATATGAACCCCATAGTTTTTCTATATTTGCACGTTATATACTATAGATGTGTTGCTGTTATAAAGGTTTTTTCTGCATGTAAATGGCCTGGAGAGGATACAATTCCAAAGTTCCGCTCCAGACATACATCACTATTTAACACTCGCACTTCTATTGGCTAGCGCTCCAACACATTGTACGTGATACGGGGGGCGGGACATCTTTAAGCGGTTGAACAAACACAACAGATATTAATACTATTACTAATAATAGTTGTGGAAGAATTTAAGAATAAACGATTGATGGCATAGATGGCATTCTCTGGATCATCTTACTGTTGCTGTCAGTTTGAAGTCTCACATCACTGCATCTTGTTGGGCTGAGTGCTGATACTCAGGAAGCAGAGTGCTTCCCCTTGGCTCAATCCCTCAAAGCGATTTGACTTTCACCAAAGCTTAGTTCTCCTCTTAAGCAGCCATTAGTCCGTAGTGGTGTTGGAATCTTTATTTCAAAGAAAGATTTTGTCGAAAGAGATCATAGAACCATTTAACACAGTCATTTCCCATTGAAGGCAATCAAAGCCCACTTGTCTTGCCCTAACAGCTAAAAATACATTGTCTCAGCGATGATCTCACTCAGAAACACCTGGACTGTTGGAAGTGCAAGGTGACACGAGAGCATCCCCTTAAGATGCCGGCTGAAGACTTTCGATCAATACAAGCTGTTAAGACCTAGAGGCCTCCAATAGATCAAATGGTCAGCACAGGTGAGAGATAGACTAAAAGGGTTTTAGAAGTCAGTGGAAATGGTATAAAATCAATTTGCAGGGGCTGAAAGATGATATTTCGACCACATTTTCTACCTCTATAATGTGGTTACGAGTCTTTCAGAGCAATATGGGTGGTGGGGGGAGCCAAATTACCATGGCCACCGGGGGAGGATGTTATAAAGTGATCATGCAATTATCTTAATGGCTGTGGGACACCCAAGCATAAATCAATGTTCCAACATTAGATTAAGGCCTATTTGCCAACCCCAAAGTCTGCTAGCCATGTGAAAGAGATAAGAAGGTGAGGTGAAACAGCAGCTGGAGGCACGGAAAGTCTAGCCTTAACATGGAAGGGGGGGATTTCCCCAAAGACCTCGCCGACGTTCCGGCGTATACCGCCAAAGTGTGTTACACCTGGCTGGAAACAGAGCCAAGTCAATTAATGTATTTGGAGCCAGTGGGACCCGGCGGTCTCTGAGGGTCTGCTCAGATTCTCCACTTCTCGCACAACAAATGAAGCAGCACCTGAGCACGCCAAAGAAGGGCATGCCGCCACGTCGGTCGCAAATGTGGTTTACCATGAAGTGGCTTCATTTGCCGTTGCTAATAAGACCTGTAATGCACGCTCGTGTTTTTTAAGAATAGAGTGAGTTGGGCGGCGGTTTAGTTTAATTTAGTTTAGTTTAATTTAGTTTAGTTTAGTTTAGGTAGAGCTGGAGGCCTAAATACCGGGGCTCTTTCAGCTGGGTCATATTGTTCTAGGTTCACTATGCTTTTGCCGTTCTTGGAAATCCAGCAGTTGTTGCATGGTGTACGTGAAAGTGAAGTCTCTCAATGAGAGGATGCCTCACGCAGACCTGTTTACACATGTTTACCAAACACCACTCAATGCAAGATATACGACATGCATTGATATACTTTATGTGCAGGGGCCTTGGGTTCCAATCAGGTCTGGGACCATTACAACTGTTTTTTCCCATCTGTCTCTCCATTTAAACTCTTCAATAAAGGCATAGATGGTCCAAAAGTGTATACAAAAATGAATAAAAAAGTGAGGTCTAGAGAGAAAACATTAGGGTTTCACAATTTTGAATAAAAAAACACAAATATTCATTTACAAAACTATTTGAGAAATTGGAAGGGTTTAGGGATGGGTCTTTTTTTAAATCATCATTGTCATTATCGTAAAAATAATATATAAGACTATTTGGTGTAATTCTTCAAGACAATCTGTACCAGACAAAGATGGTTTGTTACATCTGTAAAATGTATAGGCAGGGATATCTCCAGCATCACAATACTTCATTCAAAATAAAAAATGTTGTCAAATATTTTTCTTTTAATAAATATCGTGCTTCCAGCGAACATTGCACTAGTCCATATTGCGATCAAAAAACGATATACAATTCCGATCAATTGTACAGCCCTGCGAACGATTCATACTAACGTCGCTTTGTGTAAAATGTTGAATTCATATACGTTTTACTGCCTCTCTGCTTGAGTGGCATTTTTCTCTGCATATGTTTGCCTATAAGTACCATAGCTGTGAATTTCTATGCATCACAAGAGTGGGTTTATGATAGGAGTGGGGGGCCTGGGTATCGGAAAGCTGTGGAGGTAAGTAGTGGTATTTTTTCCCCCCGTTTCACTAAAGAGAAGGTAGCATTAAATGGAGGGACTTTAAGTCCTTCATGCAGAGCAGACTGTGATTAGGGGTTTAGCTCAGCAGCAGCCCCCACCCCCCCCTCTCTGTGTCTCCATCTTTGCCTCAGCCATCGCCTCTGGGACACACAAGCTTCCCTGTGCCAAAGCTCCGCAGCATCTCTTTCTCCAGCTCTCGCAGCTTCTCTTGGCAGTCTGAGTTACAGTGAGTAGAAAGGATGAAGAAAAGGAGGCGAAAAAAAGAAATCCCAGATTAAAAGAGATGTGGCCGAAGGGGCCGAAGCCATTTCCTTCAGAAAATAAAGTTCCAAAGCAGCGTAGCATGAACAACACGCACAGGTCACCTAAGGGAGCTCAGGCCACCGCTGGCTGTGCAGCTCTGGTCCACTCTGTCCTACTGGGCCAACTCGTTAGGCAGCGGAGATAAACCTTATCATGATTCTGCTGAGTGAGATCAGCGGGGGCCGACGGACTCCTTTCAATTTATCTCTTTCATTTTTTCGCTCTCTTCCTCACACAGAATCACAGTGTCTTGGTTAATAGACAAACCGCATTCTGATGGTCCTTGTTGTTTAAAGAGTCAACGCACGCTCCGATTCATTGCCCTCCCTGCCATTTTCAGAGATGAAACAGAACCGGTTTGGCAGATGGCACAAAGGGTTGGTGTGAGGTAGTTGGGTTAAAGGATTAATAAGAGATACTATAGCAGAAAGCATAACAGCTAAACCAGATTTCTACATTCAAATCTGCGTTTAAATGGAACAATTAATACCATTTTAAAGTAAAATGTCCTTGTGTTATGCTGATTTTATCTGGAGTGATGCTTTCAATTAATATAGATAAGCAGTAAATGTGAATCTTGATTAAAATCCTATAAGGCCATTTAAAACCACATTTAGACTTGTTAGCATACAGCACTGTGCCAAAAACAACCAGTGCTGAAACATAAGGACATATTTAATAAGTAGAATAATTGACAGAAAATGTGTCGTAGGCCATTTGGAGTCATTTTTAGAGAAAAAATGCTAAACTTGAGCTAGTTTTCATGTTTACAAAATGTTAATATGTAATAATTGGTTCTGGGTTACAGTTTGTACAAAACAAGCAAAAGGTTATCTGCGGTGTTGATTTTTCATATTTTCCGACATTTTATAGACCTCAGTATTTATGACACAAATTACAATTAGTTAGCAGACTAAATTGAACACTTGATTTTTCATTTTGGCTCACAATTCACCGCCCAAGCAGTAGCAACACAATTTGGCAATATTAACCTTTTTTTTTTTTACAACAAAACACATTTATTTGGTTTGGATTGTATTTATTCTGACGCCATAGTTTCTAGAACTTCAAAAATCTCGTATCTCCCTGAAACCTGGAGACCAATTATGGGTACATTTATAAAATACAAGACAATCAGACAGCTCAACAAGCTGCATAGCAAGTGGCATCCAATGGCGTCACTAAATGGATCTGAATGTCTTAAATGACGTGCCTTTCCCTATCTAGGACACATATTTCCTTGTGTACTGTATTCCTGTAAAAAGCACTCATTCAGCAAGAAGATCAATGCCTGGTTCCTCTAAACATCCTCCAGCAGGTGCATATTGTATGTGCACTATTTTATGGTGAGTGGACAGGAATTCCTCGGAAGCATAATGACTCACAAACGCCTCATATATTCCCCAGAAGTAAAATACTTCTTCCTCTACAACTCTAAAAGGTTCTTTAAGATCCAAGGCTACAAAGACTCTTGAAATAGTAAAGGGACATGATTCCAGACTCCGTTTATGAGGCATTAAGCTAGGACTGGGTAGCGGATGGCTGCTATGCCAGAGCTCTTATAATACCTTGGGGGATTTCTTCATGTATGCTTTGAAGTGAGGAATGACAAACTGGAAAGGGGTTTGGGCTGCGTCAGGGTTAGCTTCCTTTCTCTTTCACTGAGAGGATTAGCGTCTGTGTCTCCGCTCAGAAAACTGAAAATACTGGTCACATCTCACCCCCTTTACATTCCCCTAGTTTAAATAGCTCACGCAGATCACTATTATTATTTATCTATGTTTTCTCATTTACAAATGTTTCCCTTTTGGCGTTGGTTTGATTCAGGCAATCCTTTAAACACGTCATAAGTCATTTCCGTCTTTGGCATAATGGTGAAACCACGTTGTTCTGGGTCACAGGGGTCTGTGCTTGTTTACTGCACTAGCCGGTGCTTTTGGGGCATGTTGTGCATGTCGCTCTCTCGCTATGTTTCATCCATCTTCCCCTCTGATGGAGTGATAAGAGAGCAGCACTGCACATTCAGCTAGCCAAATAAAAGTGACTGCATACACAGGAATTAGCTTGTCGAGCAGCAAATACACTGCATTCAAGGCTGATGCAGAGCGAGTGACTTGTTTACAAACATAATAATAAATAATAATGCATTACATTTTTTATTAGAGCGCTTTTACAGGTGCTCAAAGCGCTTTACAATTACACATTACACATATTAGACATGTAAGAGTCATTACTGTGGACATTACCCACAGGAACAAATGCGGGTAAAGTGTCTTGCCCAAGGACACAACGGCCTGACGCAGTGGCGGCCGAGGTGGGATTCGAACTGGAGTTCACCAACGCCCCTTGATCTGATGACCAACGCTCTAACCACTGCGCCAAAACCGCCGTGTGTACATGTTAATGTGTTTTTTGTCTGATCCCAGGTTTCACATTACTGTTTTGCGACCAACTTGAGACGCATGCAAAACCAAAGGCTGCCCCTGTCCAAAGAAGAGAGGTAAACATT